ATTTGTGTCCCCTTCAAAAATTGCTCATGAGAAATTTTATATTTATTGTCCCCCCCTACTGTTAAATGAAATTTACGCCCATGGAGACATAGTCTCTCCAGCGTGTCCTGGGTCTTCCCCGGGGCCTCCTCCCAGTGGAACATGCCCAGAGCACCTGACACCTAAACTGACAGGCCAGGCAAGGAGAGCACTAATCAGAAAATCAGATGGGCCAATCCCTTACCAATTCACTTGGCAACAAAAACACAATGAACTACATATTTTTATCAGTTTTTAAATGACTTGTGGCATTACTAAGACCAAATGAACAAAGGGAAAGAAAAATCAATTTGCATCTACAGCACTTTTCCTAGATTGATCAAACCATGCACACACACACCTGTTGTGGAAGTAAAATTGGTAGGCCTGGGAGGGGAGGCATATTGGGTCTGTTATGTCTTAGTCCTTAGGCAAGAAAAGATTGTTTTAAATACTGTGTGACCTCACCTCGTGATAGCTGCCTGCGGTTAGTTCCACAGACCCTGAAGAAAGATCGGACCTTGGAGAGGCAGACAGCGGAGCAAGGGGGGGAGAAACCACCAGCAGGAAGAGACTCGAAGCTGCCCCAACTGGTGCATAAAGAGATATAGCTTTATAAAATAGTTGCAGTAATATATAATAGGTTACGCGGTAGTGTGCAAATGTATAACTAATCATGTTAATCATACTAATCATATGTTAACCATGTATTTGCAGTGATTCAGTGACAATACGTCAATGTGTTAATCATTAATCAATGTAACACCCAAACATTAACAGTGATTCAATGTCATATAATTAATATCTATATACATATCTCAAGTAGAGTCTAGAAGCCGAGCCAGATTCCAGTAAATTGAGCAAAATGGGTGGAGTTTACCTTGCTACCAAGGTGAACCAATGGAGCAGGAGAATTGTGATTGTTATACGTTTGAGCTTGGTTTGTTGGTGTTTTGTGACCAATCAGGACTTAGAAGTTCTTATTGGGAATTGGGAGTTATGGTTTATCAACTGGTTTCTCTGTGTGCTGAGGGTGACTTGGTACCGAGTGCCAGAGTGTGATGGGAGCACTTTGCTGGAATTGCTGGAATAAAAGAGATTTTCTTTACTCACCAAACTAAGAGGTCCAGACTGTTATTCTAAGTGACTCTCTGTGTTATCAGAGAGGTCGATTTATAATTTGTCTACCACACTGTCAGGCAGAATTGTCTCATACTGTATCACTTGCTGTTAACACTGAACAGGTGTGCTCAGGGCCATGGTAGATTTGAGTAGCATCTGAAAACAGGATCTACAGCATGTGAAATAACTTTTTTCTACCAGAATAGTGTGGAGCTGAGAAAATGTTATTGCATACCGTATCACATTCCATTGGGACTTGTAGTCCTAGTTTGTAAAATGGGTGACTGTAACACAACACTACTTTATTCTATTTCTACTGTTTTAGACCTGAGAGATAATACAACATAGGCAGACCATGGAAGAAGAGCAGGAATCTGCAATATTGAACATGCCATTCAATTGAGTGAATTCCAAATTAGAATTATTGGAGGTCATCATGTTTTTCCAAGGACTGCCCAAATCGGCATCACAACCATGGACTGCACCCTTTAACACAACAGGATGTGAATGAAACCAACCTATCATGTTCCTTATGAAAGAAATGCTGAAAGAATAAAAGATCACTGCATGAACAATATAATTTCAGTACCCATCCATGAATTGCTACCATACCCTGGTGGAGGGGTTTGTGTGTCCCAGTGATCATAGGAGATACCCTAGTATGGTCTCCCAAGGCAAATAGGTCGTAGGTGAGCAGCCAGATTAAGTGCAATTTAAATGACCCGAAGAAGAATAAAAACAAGGAACCAGAAACCTTGACCAGAACAGGGAAGCCAAGGCCCCGTCCTGGAGGTGGAGCTCATTGCAGGCTCAGCCTGAATGAACCATGTGGGACCCAGCGGGTGTTGAACTCTTTATCAATTTTGTTCATAATATTTATGGACAGAATTTTTGGTGTCAAGGAGGGTGTTCCACAAAGCAGGATTTCTTGTTTAGCCAGATAACTTGCTGGATTTTGTTTGGACTAAATTAACCTCACTTATGTGAAATTACATTCACTTATGTTTAGCTTGGACTACTTCCCCAATAATTTTTGGGAAATTTTCCAACAGGAGCAGAGGGAACCAGGGCAGAAAGAACATTCACACCACACTGTCATATGCGTCAGTTTTCACTGTGTTGTCTTGGGTGTATGACTGGTTCACTATCTCTATCACCTCTATCACCCTAGACCTCATTTCTCTGCATCAGAGTGGAAGGTCTATAACTGACATCCATGAGTGAAAGAGCCAAGTGATGGAGGGAGCTTGTGGAGACATCTTACTGGGGCATCACAGTGAAGTCCATCTAGCGGTGGATTAAGTATAAGACTCCCACACTGCTTGGCCAGGGCTAACATAGCAGGTGATGTGGATTAAATTTTATGGCTTGACCCAGTCCAGAGATACTGCATTGGAGAATGAGATCATGTTTATTGCAATTATGTACCAACATTCATTGTGTGATGATTACTGAGTTGCGGAGATTATTGTCCATATGCCTTGTTTCCACTGTGCTTTCATGCCTATCATTGCTTTTTTCTGCTGTATGGAGTTGGGAAATAAGATGATCCAAATGAGTTTTACTGTACTTGCACTGTTGTGAATTGCATGGTTTCACAATACTCTAAGTACAGTAAACACAAAACAGAAACTTTGCACAAAGCAGAAGTCTGGATATATTGCAATAAGAACTTTTTATTGTGGTGTTCTCAACCAATCTTTTCATTGTGTAAGAGGTACTATGGGATGCCCATAGATTCGTTGGATGGTATGTGCCACCCTGAAGGCACACTGTGATTTACATGGAAGTTGATGTGTGTAAGGTATCTCATTTTTTTTCTGATGTGTGGGGTTTGTGTAAACCATTATGTAATTTTGGGTTTGTGCTTAGCATTGAGAAAATGACATATTGTTTCAGGAAATGTTTTAAGCATTTGGGAAAAACTGAAACAACAAACTTTTATTAAAATTGAAAAAATTAAATCATGCCAAACTTATTTGTAAAAAAAAAAAAAAGAACATTTTGACAATACACAATGGGCGTATCATGTTGTTCTGTTGTTGAAGTACGGAGTTTCCATGTTATAGCATGATGAACTAGACTGTAGAGTATAAACAAGGGACTACAGAAATTTCCATTTGAATCTAGAGCACAATCTTACAGTGGACTTGTCACACTTTATTAATGTAAACATGTAATAAGCAACTACTTATTCCAACACTTAATCATCTTAAATAAGATTAAATTTCCAAAATATATTTTTGTTTTGTTTGAACAAGCCTACTGCAGCAGTGATTGATGACTGAGGCTTCATATTTCTATAGTGCATGTTATACTGCGAAAAATAAAACAGTAAAATAACAGAAAGTATCATGAGTGGAGGACAATTGTTACCCCAATGCCCTTTTAATCAGAGGACCATCTGTTTTCCTGAATACAGAGCATGACTCCAAAAACTAGGGAAAATATATTGAGAAACTGTTAAATTAAAAAAAAAAACTCTGAAGAAGGATCAGGTTCCTGGATGAGGAAGCGTGTGTGCATGTTCATTCCAAATGCATCAAATTATTATTTTTTAAAAATCAGGTTCAGATATAATAGTTTCGATGACAAAACACTCTGTCACTTAATGGAGATCCCCCCCCCCATGCAGGTTCTCTGTAGACTGAAAAATACACCAATCTGCGATCTGCAGTCACCAATCAGAGTGCAAAGTACCAGCCTTGTGTTGCTCGCAGAGCAGTCCGAGCCCCCAGCCACCCAGAGGTGTCAAATCTCCAGGGCCCTCATTCACTGGCTTCCTCCTCTCCCTCTAGGCTTTCCAGCACCCCAGTCATCACCTCAGACTTCTTCATCTTCTTCGGCATGTCTAGAGAAAGCAGTGATGCAGGGAGAATAAAAATGATATAAATGAATAATTCATACAGATTTAAATTTAAATGTACTTTATAGATGCTTTTCTCCAAAAAGACATACAAGTGAAGCAAGTAGGACATTACAAACATATAGCTGTCAAGGAGTCAACTAGGCATAAGTGCAACTAGGCTGAGCTTCCAGTGAATGTCCAGGTAAAGTATAAGTAGTATTAGAGCAAGAGCTACACTACATTTTCCAAACAAAGCAGGAACCTAAGAAGATAACTAGAAAGGGTGACTATCGGAACGACAGCAATCTCGGGACAACCCCGTCACTTTCTCCGCCCGTCTTATCATTACTCCTCCCACATTCACCAACCTGTACAAGTTCTAAATATACTGGATCGGTCAACTGGAAATATGAAAAGCAATTGAATGTTCCGAGTCTTGGTTGAGGCAAGCAATTCTGAAACTACACCTATTCATTAATTGCACATTCCACTTACATACCAATGTGCAGAATATTTATGCACCAATTAGATGGTTACTTATATTTCTTTATTTTAAAATGTCATTTATTTAATTAATATGTGCCTATTTATATTTATTTCTCATTTGCACTATGACCAACATTTTCCGTGACATAACAGTAAGAACTATAGATAATACATATAACAGATATACTAATGGCATAGATGGAGCCCTCACAGGCTTGATGTGCACAATTTAGGTTAATATTCAGAAGGAAATACTAAAGTGAGCTCATGAAATCCCTGTTTACTATTTTGAGCTCTAAAATTAATTTTCAATTTAATTAAATATAACATTTTGTTCTTACATAAAGAAAACATGAGAACAAAGACAAAGACTGGAGTGAAGGAATACTATGGGTTTTACGGTAGTAAATTTATTTGCTGAAATTTTTGTAATGATGCATATGTCTCCCAGCACAATTTGGTTTTAGTATGCTAGACCTGGCACTTGCCCAAATTAAGTTTCAAATAATTCCACGGCAAAAAGTAGGCATTATGGTCATCTAACTCAATAGTGTGCATGATAAAAAGTATATCCGTACATCTCTGAGCCATACATCTTTATAATAATCCATAATATAGAGATGGGCGATCCACATTTTTCAGTTCCGTTCCAATTCCGATACAGATTCGATACAAGAGCTCTTTTTTATTCTTCTTTTTCAAAGCAAGTATACACAAGTGGCGAATGCTTAAAATTTTAACACAGTTTTTCTCCCACTGGCATCAGTGCAGTTACACTTTTGCTGCGATGGCAGCCCCTCTTGTATCACAAGCTGCAGCGAGTTCGCAAAACAGTCCAATTAAGTTAGCGACTCCCAAATCATCCATTGCTTTGTTTTGTCTCGCAGTTGCGTGCGCTTTGTTAAATTGTCCATTAAACGCTATTTCCACTTCAAAACTTTATTTTACATAGATTGCAAATCGCTGTGCTACTGGTTTCTGTTAAAAGCGTATGCAGTCGTCCCTCGTCACTTCGCGCTTCGACTTTCGCGGCTTCACTCTATCGCGGTTTTTTGTCTATTGATTAAAAAGTTGATCGAGACAATAAAAAAGATGACATCGCTACGCATAGGAAGCATCTTTGCTCTTCGTAATTAAATGAGCAATAATAACAATATGATATTTATAACGTCTAATATTTCTTATTTTCTATTATTTTTTCTATTATTTTGGGTAATACGAGTGTGATTGTCATGACCTGCCTGTCCGATCCTCTTGTGTGCCACGCCTCCTTATTAACCACATATGCAACCCCGATTGTGACCAGCTGTTTCCTGTCAATTTGATTCAGTTCGAAGTCCACGTCAGTCTCTAAAACCCCAGGTCTGCCATTGACGTTTTGACGTTACATGTTCCTGTGTCCTGCATTTGGAGTGATTCCAAATAAACCCTTCAATCCTGATTCCTTGTCTCCCCGTTCCTGCTTCCGTGTCCAGCAGTCATAAAGTAATGTTGACTAAAGGGTGTTATTTCATGTCTGGAGGGCTCTAATAATGTTAAAAAACGTATTTAGAAGGTTGTAAACAGGTTTCCAATGCTCTAACTATGAAAATATTCGATTTATAAATAAAGAATCATACTTCGCGGATTTCGCCTATTGTGGGTTATTTTTAGAACGTAACTCCCGCAATTAACGAGGGACCACTGTAATACTCCCAGATCGTCACGTCTTATCTTACGCTCCTCGTGCTGCGAAGGGAATGCGCATGACGTCACAGCAGGCGGAAGTCACTGTACTCACACCAGAGAATGTGAGCGGAGCTGAGCGTGAGCGAGGACCGGTTTTTTTAATTAAGGCTGGAGCGGTCGCTCTGTCTCGCTACAATTTCGCTCCGATACTGCTCACATTACGATTCTGAGGCGTGCCCAAATCTACCCAGAATTCATCTGTACAATTATCAAGACTATTAAAGAAATTAGCCGAGATGGAATTCGCAAAGTATTTCACAAAGGAAACTGATTAATATTAATATTCTTATCAAACGTATAGATGACAATAATGTAGAGCAAGAATAACAAGGTGGTGAAACTGTTTCAGTGAGTAAAGATTCACTTTGGAATCATTTTTCTCAGAAACACGAGAGTGTTTTATGCGAACAGACGGAAGCCATAGCAAAACGTGAGCAAGTTTTATATGGTTGTAGTATATCAAGTCTAT